CAGGTTTATATTTTTAAGGACAGATAGAGTATATCTTGTTGAGTCCTGGCCATTGATAGTTAGGTTAGTAATTTTTTTTGTTTTTTTTTTTTTTTTTTTTTTTTTTTTTTTTTTTTTTTTTTTTACAATTGAACGTTAATTAACTGCTTCATTTTTAATTATGGTTTTAAAAGTAAGTTTCGTATGATTGCAACAGAAATTCAATCGAAAGCAAATTTGGTTTTCGAAAAAGAGGATGCAGCAAAGGAGGACAGAAACGATGGGACATTTTTGACACGTTCCGGACCACTTCCTCCTACATCGCCAGGTTTGGAACTGACACATATATATATTTATTTATTTATTTTCTATAATTATAATTATAATCGACTTGAAATTTTAACTAGATCAATTCCTTCGACGCAGAGCAAATCAACCATTAAGATCTTTGGTTGACTTATTAAAATCAAAGGTTGATTTATGTCAAAAATGGAATTCATCAAAAATTATGTTTTTTTTTTTTTGTTTGTCTGATAAATTTTTAACCTATCGAAAAAAAAAAAAAATATAATAAAAAAAAAAAGGACTTGTTTGTCAAATTACATGCAAATTTCAGTTGGATCTTAAAGGCTTGCGGCAGACGTTTACAAGAAGGGCATGTAAATGATCAAACACTGGTAAATTTATCATCGTTATTTTTAAAAATTGTATATTATATAGCTTTGTGATTTTTTGAAACTTTAACGTATACTTTTTTATTTAGTTTCCGAGTTCTGTGTTCTCACCAAAGACGATAATGTTACTTGATCCCATGACGACTTACCAACCCCCGCCTTTTGGTTTAAATGGTTTGAAAGGAGATTATGAAGTCATGATTGGGGATTTGAAAACTTTACAAAGTATTTTGGGTTTAAATGCTTTTAGAAAACTAATTTTGAATTTTGTCAAGGGTAATCAATTAGTATTCAGAGGAAATGACCCGATAATTATGCGATGTATTATTAATGTATTGAAGGTTAGTAATAATATTCAAACAATCATTATTAATTATATATTAATATATTTATAATCATACTTTTCTTATTTTTTTTTTTTTAAAAAAAAAAAAAGGATTTAGTTCCAAGTGAATGTTGTTCAATAGTGGAAAATGAAAATAATTATCAACCCATAACAAAATGTAATATTCTCGGGCTAAATGCAACAGCACAAATACCAAATCATATAAACAAGTCAACTCTGTGTTTGTTAGATATCCTTAAATTATGAAACTTTTTTAATTTTTAAAGAAATTAAATTATTTAGTAACCTTAACATTTGCAAACATATTTCACAAGACTGTGATAAACCACTTAAAGATGATAAGACCGTAATGAATACATTCAAGTTTAATATACAGTATGGTATTGATGATAACCGTAATCATTCTGTACCCAATTCATTTATAAATCAATTGACGGGAATTTTGAAATTAAATTTGCCAAATGAATTAATGAATACTAGATTAATGATCTTTAAAGAACAATGGTCATGGTATGTTAATTTATATTTTTTGCAGTTTGTCACTTTTATTAATAATTCATTTACTCTATATATCCACAGTAAAGCAAAGCAGTTTCTCCGATTTGTTACAGGAAATGTTTATGGAGGGAATGTCTTACCAAATATTGATTTGACTAAACAAATAGAATTTATTAAACGAATTGATATAAACGAAAATGATTTACCAATTGTGAAATTTTGGACGGGACATTTAACGACTAAATGAATGTCTGTGTTTCAACTCTTAATTTTACTTTTTGTTTTTGGATTTTAATTAATTTAGATTTCTTTTTTGATATTTTTGTTAGATTATGAATAGATGTTGTTCTATAGACTTTTAGAGATTGTTATTTATTTATTGATTGTTATTAGATTAAATTAGATTAATAATCCTCTTAATACTTAAATTCTAATTTGGAATTATATAATGTCATTTAATATAATCACGTGATTATATTAATTTAATTTTAATAAACTTCGTAAGGATATACTACTAAGAGTTTCGATCTATATATTTTGTATTCAAAATCTTATAATAAAACAATTTGTATTATTTATATAATAAAAGTTTTTGAAGTACCAAAAGAATTAAATGTTATCAAGTTAGTCTCAATTATTTTCAAGTCTTTACCGGGATTTTTACATGAAGAAATGAAAGTTTTTTTTTAATCGATTATGAATTATGATTAAAAGGTTCTAATAGTTAGTACGATATAAAAATACTGATGAATTAACAAAGTTCAATTTTAAGAAAATAGTAGATTTATGAGTTTCACCTTTACAAACAGAAAGGTAATGAATTAATATATTTTATTTGAATATATGCTTAATAGATGTAAATCAGAGACATGACACCTACTTAGAATTTACTCAATTATAAATTTTAATAAAAATATGTTTGATTCAGAAATAATTGAAACTAATGAAAGCCAGAGAAGAAGCAATGAAAATATTAGGAGACCTCAAAAGCCTTCCGACATTAAACATTTAATTAAAAACTTAATTATATTATCCATTTATTTTCTTTTCTTTTTTTTTTTCATAAAAAAAAAAAAAAGGAATTGAAAGATTACTAACGTTACCTTATACTTTTCACATTTTAAAGAACGCTTATGTTCTTAATGGTAAAGAAATACAAGTTTAGACCTTAAAGATTTGTTTTGAGAAAAATTGCTTTTGTATGAATTGGGACAAAAAACTTTCTATAACGGAACAGCGCGTTATTATTGAAACAATTTCAACTTTCTTTTTCCTTTTTTTAATCACAATTGCATTTTGTATTACAGTCAAACCTCTAAAATGCACTCTCTAATTCATATAGAGAACATATAAAATTTTCTCTTTAAATACACACCCTCTTTAAATGCACATTTTTCAAATTTTCACTATGTAGGCATTAAGATGTATTATGATCGCTTAATCCGAAAAATCTTAAGCTCGTATATTCAAATTAGCATAATCGATTTTGTGCTGCGTTACACTTCATTTTTTCAGAATTATCCATTTGGAGAATATACAAGAGAAATAATGCTTCAATACAAAAAGTTTCTGTCAATTCTTTAGGTAACCTATTGAGATTGGAAAAACTTTTTCAGCCTAAAACGCGGGATATTATAGATAAATTGTAATTTATGACAAATTGTTTTCAATTTAAAAAAAAACCGGAAGAACTGCTTCGTGAAGTAATTATTGGAACGCAAAAAAAAAAAAATTTATAATTTGATATGCATGCATGTTTTTGTATATTTTTGTTTTTTTTTTTTATTTTTATAATTTTTTTTTTCTTTATTAGTATCGTATCGTATTAAAATGAAATCGCAAGGCACGTAATGAGAGTGGAGATTATGATATGAAGTGATCATTATAATAAATTATTTAATTTAATAATTCTGTTATCCCAATTATAATTTATAATCATACAAAGCGCGAGAGTAAAAATAATCATCGGGACTTTGAGTAGGGGTAAATGAGGCGGGATCGAGAGAATAAGTTGTAGTTGTATTTTTGGTAAGTTGCAAATTCAATTCCACCACAGGAGATTTCGATGAAGGGTCCTTCGTGGTATGGGCAATTTGAGGATTTCTCACCAATTCATCAATTTCCTTCAAAATAGCGGGGGTATTTAACATTTTAGCATCCTTGTCATATTGATCATATTGACTGATAATAGTAATTTTCTTATTTCGATCTTTCTTTGTCCATTTACGAGAACGAATATGAGCCAAGATAACTGTTACAAAAGTCCAACACAAGAATTGAACCCAACCGAGGGCGGTGATTGCTTTTCCAAATGATAATAAATTATCTGTATCAGGAATAGCTTCTTCTGAAGAATATTCAGTTTGTAATTCATGAACTTCTTCTTGTAATTGATCAGTCATGTTCTTTGAATCAATTATAGATCCATTATTAACTCTAACCAAAATTACAATTGAAATAATAAACCAAACAATTGATAAGAATGTAACTGTTAAATATACAAAAACTTTATATCCAAATTTACGTGAAATTTTGGGAAAACTTAAAACGGTCGAAAATATAAGTGAAATTATGCTAAAAATGAAACCAAAGTAAATTTCCATTGGAAAGTTTGGTGATGAATGGAATGGCTTGTTGGTGATTTGCTTGTAATATGAATCGAATGAGGTGGAAAACGAATTTGTGGAGGAGACCCAGGCGGAAAGCAATGAAATGATGATTAACGAGAAAAGTGAGAGAAGGGGATAAAGTATACGAAGGGTAGTGAATGGCCAAGACATATTTACAAATTGTGGTAAGGAATATTAATGTACAAAGTATTAAATGTATATTTATATATATATATATATATATATATTATGTACTTGGCCTAGCGTAAATAAGGCGGCAGGAGGAAGTTGGATGGAGGAAGGGATGGAGGATGGATGAATGGAGGATGGATAGGGGAGGGGAAGAATAAAGAGTGAGTACAGATGGTTGGAGTCGACGAACGGTCGATGGTAAACGTTACGAAATGATGAGAGATAAATGCGTTACAACGAATAACAAAACCCAACAGCATTCTTATAATGATTAGGAATCGCGTGGTAACACAAAAATAAACAAATTATTAAATTGGCTAATTTGGTTATCAATTTAATAATGTGAACAACGGATAGAAATAACTATGGAACCATCTCATTTTTCTTTTACTGATTGGTGTCAAGCATTCGCATGTGGAATGAGAGATTTGTGCAATCAAACAAGGATGGAATGACTTTTTGAACGTATTTATACATTAAATAGCATAGCAGATGATTTGTGCCGGCTCAATCTGGCCAATAAGAAACGGTCTTGGTTAATAATTGGTGTGTCGGAAAAATTTTTTCAATAACATCCTTAAATGACAATGTTAGAGTTCGGATTGTTGCTTTAATATTTATTAAAGTTGTTTAAATCATTGTTTTATTTATTTATATTTTTTTACAGTATTTTATAACAAAACTACTTGCATGCTTAATTGGCCAATCAAAATTCGTTGCGAAAAATTTATAATTGGGAAGACATTCATCAAAGAAATGAAAGTGCTAGGCAAGATAATTTGATAGGACCGTATAATCATTCAAGAGCCAAGACAAAAGAAGAGAGCATGTAATAGCAGCAAGTTATAAGAAAATTTCGACTTTATTAAATCATTGAATCATAACTTCAACGATTTAATATAATAATGACTGGAGAAATTATTTTGATTTACAAAAATGACAATTGTGCGGCGAAAGATAAAAATACATTCGAGATTAATAGTTCGTAACAAGAACTATGTTTAACAATGAATATTTACATTCAAAAGTAACATTACATTATATAATTCCTCCAATATTCAGGAAATATAACAAATAAGGAAAAAGAAGAAAAGAAATAAAAGGTCAAAAATGATTATTTAAAAACCGCATAATTAATTACTCCTATCATAAAAATCTAATCCATCATTTGTTTCGTTACCGTTATAGAAAAGAAACATTAGAGATTGAAATAAATCTATGATGGCTAAACTTTTCTTCACCGTCTCGTTTGTAGTGTGGTTCTTCTTTGATTCGCAATATGGCTTCGGCAACGACGTCACGTTTATTAACTAATTATAATGAATTTGAAAAATAAATAATTAAAATTTAAGAGATTTATAATAATTTTATGGATACGAATTTGAAGTTTCAAGTTCTCCTTACGTTCAGCGACTTCACAGCCACCGCTGCAAATGCGTTGCAAAGGACGATTTAATTTATTTTTTCTTTTCAAAGTTTTACTTATTTATTTGATAAAGAACTGAAGAACTGACTTTGAAAGGGAATTAGGAAGGGTTTATATACTTGTTGAATTCTTATATAACGATGTTTTGATTAGGGAGTTAATATTGAGGTAAAAGATTTTCTAAAGATGGATTAAAGTTATTTTTAGTTCAAGTATACAAAGGGATAATCATTGTTCAGGTTTTTTTTTTAAAAAAAAAAGACTCTTGAGTACATGAATTTACCAAATTTAGTATACCTATAAATGCTTTTAATAATTACACGCTTGGTTTTTTTTTTTTAAAAAAAAAAAATAAAAATAAAAAAAAAAGATCGTTACAATGAAAATACTCGAATTGGATAATAGGGAAATATATATATTTATTTTTTTTTTTAAAAAAAGAAAAAAAAAATTGTTTCTAAGTTTAGATTTGTTGAAGAAATTTTGAATTACGAAAACGTTACCCAACATGATTTGATTGAATATGGTAAACTCATTGATGCTTCAAACGCGTAAAAAAAAAAAAAAAAAAAAAAAAAAAAAAAAATTCTGAAATCGCACGACAAATTATTTCCATAATCGGTTAGAGTTTAACTTAGGAAGGTTACAATTTTTTTAAAAAAAGAATTTTTTAAAGGAGAATTTAACGCGACTTACTTTGGTGCTCAATTTAATATTATGAACACAAGCAAAAAAGCAATTGACACAAAAATTACTCTAATAATAAATATTAATAAAAGAATTCCAATAAGGAAATTAATGAAAAAAGGAAAGCGCACGCAATTAATGAATTTCAAATTCAATATTTGGAGATCTTAAGTCTAATCAAACAGGAAGAAAATAAATGTAGAGATTTCATAATTAAATCGCTGGGAATTGGGTTTGAGGAAGTAGATTAAATATTATTCATTTTGTCATGTTATAACAAGGCACTTTCATTTTTTTGAAGATGAGAGTGGAGTGAAAGAATTCTTGCGTATAAAACATAATTGTTAAGTCGTACGTGTTATTTATGAACAATATTTGCCTCAAAAATCGCGAGGTCTAATGCTAAAAAGTCAATCTCATTGTCTTAATCAAACACTAAATTAAAAACTATGAATTACCAAAACTTTGTTTTTGATCTACTAGCAAGCTAATTTGTCATCTTGCCTCCGCATATTTCCGCATATTTCAGATTATCAAAATCTTTTGTGCTGCACGCCACTTCTACTAGTTTTGTGAGAAAGTAATGTTTAATTTACAGTACCTATATAAGAAATTATTTTATTAAATATTTTATGATAATATTAGAGAAACTTCATGTTTAAAAGAATCAAAAAACAAATGTGATTAATAATTTAATATATCAATAAAATTAATTAAGATGTATGAAAAAATGTCCATCATGCTATTTTTAAGGGTAAGGTAAGGGTATATGTATTTTTTTATAACTTTTCTGAGTAACATAAACTAACTCTTGACTGGGTCTCGAGCTAGAATTATCTCTGATCAAAAAAGTGGTGTAACTGTGATTGTGTAATTTCGAAATAATAAAAATTTATATCAATAAACATAGGTATATTCTAGACGAGTTGTTGTTTCGAGTGATTATTACGATAAAAGATTTTTCACTAGATATCATAATGATGTTATGCAATGCGAGGATTGATTTGAAGAAAGGTTGTTAAAAGGAAGTGAAGGGATTTAGGTAAAAAAAAAAAAAAAATTGATAATTTAAATTTTCTATTTAATTGAAGGAATTTTTAAAGTTTCCTGATTATTATTATGATAATAGGGATCATGAAGAAAAGAAAATGAGGAACAAATTTACTGAGAATTTACAAGATCCGATTAAAGTTGCTGCTTGGAAGGAGGAGAATTGTGATAAGTGTATTGAGGGACATCCGAAATTTTAAAAATAATTTTTTTTTTTGATACATGTTTAAGAGTCATGTGACAGCTAGAATGACCAACGAAGAACAAAATCGAAGAGATTTCGAGAAGAAACAGATTCAGTTTAAGAAGAGAAAATTGAAGGTAAAGACGCACAAAGTATTTGATGGAACGAACAGTCAGCGGAGGAAAATCAAAAATAAATAAAAAAAATTAAAATGTGATGAAAGAAATGGTTAATTATATGAGGTGATTTTATCATATTATTATTGTATGATGACTATTTACCGATATATTGGAATAAGGGGAAAGAAAAGGTCGTAGTTAAGATCTATTGTATTGATCTTTAAGAGAGAAAGCTTTTTCATGAAAAAGAATTTTAAAAAAATTTATTTTTATAAATTATATGATTTCGTATCGGATGGATAAAACCAGATCGTAACTACAATTTTTTAAGAGCCGTAATCTAATAGACCGAAAATTTTTACCACAAAAAACTACAACGCGTGGATCTTCCTTCGGGTTTTAAAACCGGTCTTAAAACCGTCTTTTGGTCGGTGGAATCTTAAGCATGGCGTTTCTTTTTGAGATAAATTTCGTGAACTATTTTGATACCCTTTTATTTAAAAAATATTTTGAGAAAAGTAGTTGTATTGAATGATTAATTTGATCGATACAATATCACCGCTAAAGATTCAAAGTTGGGGTAGTTATTTGGTTTAGATGCCAAAATTAAAAATGGTAAATCAAAAAAGTAAAAAAACTGCAAAGAGAGGGTTAAAAAAGAGGTTAAATTTTTAGATTTTGAAAACTAATGAGATGAAAGAATTTTGAGTGGATATTAAAACTTTAGAGGATTTGTAAACACGAAATCTAAAACCAAATCGAGAATAGAATTTCTCAATGGTTTTCAGTGATGAGGAATGCAGACAAATGATTTGAATAACCTTGATAAGGGGGTAATTTGAGTGCAACGAACAACGTTTCCTCGATAATTTTTAATTTATTTCGCATTTGAAAACAGTAACTAAATAAGTATGCATTTCAAAGTCACCAAAAAAAAAAAATTTCAAATTTGAAATGCGGCCAGCTCATTTTTTAAATTTGTAACATAACACGGGTTTAATTACAAATTCTTAAAATCCATTTATGAAATGGAAGTTTGAAATTCACTTTGTGAAACAACCAAAGAAAAAAAATTTTTTCTTAGTACGAAAATAGTCAAAGGATTAAAATGATACGTGAAATAACTCCATAATAAATTACGGTCATAAAATTCGGACAACTCGAAAATTTACGAAAACATTTATTTAATTATTATTATTTTCTTTTAAATTATTATTGTTATTTTTTTTTTTTTTTTTAATTTCGTAAATATAAGTAAAAACTAATGCGCACCGCGAGAAATATAACCATCAATCGGAAATAAAAATATTTAACAATTTTTCCTTCCAGAGAAAAAAAAAAAAAAATAAATTAATTTATTGGTTTGAGGTTTATAAAAAGGGTTTATGTATAATTAGTGTGATGTGTATTTGGATATATACAAGGTTCACTCGGTTTACAATTAATTGTATTTTAACAATCTAAGACAATTTCTATATATTGCTATATCTCGTTGTCAACTTCCTCGTTAACTTGTTCCTCGTTATCTACAATTTTTTGAGCCCAAAATCTAAATAATTTATAGTTGGTTTCAAATTTGGTAAATTCCAATTGACAATATTTCCATAGATCCAAATATTGATCCGCATTAATGCCAATATAATCTGGTAAAATATCTATGAAATTATTTTTGATGTACATTTCTAATAATTCTTCATATATGGTACCAAATTTGCCACCGAGTTGGCCAACTGGAATGTCTCGAACATCCGACTGGATTTCGGTTAATGACGGGATTGAGGAAAGTATGGTGGGAATTTGTTCCGTTATGTGTACGTTTACGCCGGTTGATTCTATGAATCCAAGGACTTTTTGGTGTAGAATTGAAAGAAATAAACCGATTAACAATTAATAAAGCAAAAGGATGAATCAATCAATCTATACATATATATATACACTTACGTTTATCAGTTAAAAATTTAAAGTATGGGCCTTGGTTATATGCTTTTAAATCTTTTTCCACGATTTCCAAATAACCATTAGGTTTTAATACTCTACCAAATGAAAGGGGTTTGAGTCAATAAAGATCATAAAGAAAAATACCCGTTCGTTGATATTTACCTAACTAACTCCCTTACGACGTCATTCCATTGATCTTCCTTGAGGGAAGTAGCAATCAAACTCATCCTAACAAAGTCAAAATAATCGTCTTTAAAAGGTAAACCTTGATTTATATCGCATTTTTGGAAATCCAAATTCGTTGGTTTTATTTCTGATGGAAAGACTGTGACGATATCGACACCAAAGAATTTTACTGAAGGATGTAATGTGGACATTTCGAGAAGCCATGTTCCCGGTCCGCATCTGGATGGGGACAATTCTCGTTAATAAAAACGGGGAGAAATAAAATAGATCGAGTAAGAAAAGAAAGAGAAACTTTACCCAGCATCCAAAACTTTAAAGTCGCCCGATTTCAATTTATGTTCGATTGGAGAGGAATAATTGCTTTGCCAAATGTGTTCAAATAGGAAGTGCTGTAATTGCATCCTATCGATGTCTTGATCATTCTTTGGTAAGTGAAATTCCAAGTTTCTCGATTCCTGACATTGTTCCGTTTCTACCGATAAATGTTGCTTATATTTTCGACTTTTTGATTTCATGCTTCGAGATGAATGATTATTACCCATTCTTGAAAAAGTTTTAATAAAATGAATGAATGATGAGATTTGAAATGAAAGTGAAAAGTTTTTTTAATTAAAGAGAGAGATGGATGATAAAAAGGAATAAAGTAATGAATATTTTTCTTTGTAAAAATAGGAAAAAAAAAAAACCACAATGAGAACGAATTAATTTATTTATATACCTTAAAAAGAATATTGTCGAAAATTGAACAAAGTACACAAAATTTTTTTTATACAAAATAGGTTTTCAGAGATGTTGAGTAAAAAAAAAAAAAAAAAGGCGTTACATCTACTGTACATTAAAAATGGTCATCCATTCATAACAAAGGAAGAATAGATTGATCTACAAAAAATCTCAATCAAACTTTGAAAAAAAAACCAAAGGGTTAATGTGTAATTAAACAATTAACAGATTAAGTTACTAAAATAGAGAACTGAAAGCGTAAAAGGGAAATGTTTTTTTTTTTTTTTTGAACACGGGAATAATCAATTAATGTAACAAGAAGATTTGGCGGCAAAAAGATTTGTGCAACCTTTTCAAAAAGCCCTTTCAACATTTACAAGATAAAAAAAAAACAAATATTTGAGTTCCACTGACCACCCAAGGGGTTTAGTTAAAGAAGGGGGGTGATTATTTATTTGCCCAATCTAAACTGCGATTGGTAAAGCAAGAATGGGATTTTTAATATTTTTCTCGGAATTTTGTAGATCCATGTAAAATTATCTTTTACAACCATCGGATTCCCTAAATAATATATTTATTTTCGGAATTTTATAACCTAAAAAATTACAAATTTATATTTGTAAAAGGGTCTCTGTGTTTAATTGTCAAATGAAACCTGTTTGAAATTAACAATGAACTTTATAAGTAACCTAAATAATGATGTTAATAGAATATAAACAATTCGCAAAGATCCTAAAATGATCCCTTCGGAATCGATAAGGCTCCTAAAATGACATCTTCAACACGGTAAATTTACTAACTAATTAACTTCAAATATAAATAAAGAAGCAATTCTCGACTGGATGATTCTTCCGTCACACTTCAGCGCTGCGCCATTTAAATCATTTAATTAATTTAAGCCAAAATCTTTTAGAGGATCCCTTGTCATTTTCTATGCATGTCATTAAACATTTGTTCTTTCTAGTAAAAAAAAAAGCGTCGTGTAACGATTGTAGGTCCTTTGCAATTTGGTCATGTCTTTTATACGACGACTTGTACAAGACGTCATTTTCATAATACTATTTTTAGGGTACAGGGATGATTGCTTGATGCTTTATGTAGTGATAGCTTAATGCATTATGCACCATCATTATCCAATAATGTATTTAAATGATGGATTGTCTCGAGTGAATAAACTTTGTTAGAATTGTTTTTGAATATTCTTCTCTTTTTAGACCATTATAACAAAAAATAAAGGGGGGGAGGATTCTTTGTAACATTTATTTAATATTGTTGATTTATATATTATACTGCATTTTGTTATAAAAAAAAATCTATTACATAAAATAATCTTGATTTTTTTATTCACTCGTACGCAATTTCTGTTTTCCATGAAATTGCTAATTTTACCTTTTCAAGTTATTTCGATTACGGTAAATGGAATAATGTTCCTCAATAAATGAAAAATCAAAGAAAAACACAATTGATGATTCAGTTGACACAATCGATTAATAAACTTGCCTTACTGCTGTTTACCATATTTCGCAAAGGATTATTTTAATTAAATCAAAAGAACAATGAGATTTATTTATTCAATCATAAATTATAAATTTTATTATTATTGATTTACTGTAATTCATTTAATAAAATTAAAATAAATTGGAAAGGGGGGAATTGACGATTTGAATTGTTTGTGAACCCCCCCTTTTTTTTTATTTATGATTTGAACAAAAAAAAAAAAAAAGAGTTTAATAAAGTTATATTGTATATACAAGGTTTGTGAAAAAAATGAAATGTTGAGGGAAAAAAAAAAAAATTATTTCCTGTCAAAAAGTATCCACACAATAATTTTTTAATAAGGACAAGGTAATTCAAACATTTGACATAACTTTAACCGCATGAATTGAAAGGTGTAATTTTTATTCTTCCTTGAAGTTTCCGTGATACATTGACCACAAAAATTTCTTCCTTTACACCATCCGCATTTTATCCAAAATTCATCCCAATATTTATACCTTGCTTTACAATTCGCACATGACATTGTACAATATTCACATGTATCATATTGACAACTTTGAAATTGGAATACGCCATCCAATGATTGAATGGGAGTTGAATTTAGGATCAAATTGATCCTTGTTGACATGAAATCATCATTCAATTTCGACTTTGAATTCGAATCATGATATTGTAATTTACTCAAATCTTTAATAACTTTTTTAACGGTTAAGGAATGTCTTTTTCCACCGATGCATCTGGTCAGGTTAATCTTTTTTAACTCTTTCAAATCCGGAGAATTCCCTGATTTATCCTGATGCCATTGCACCATCGCGTTTGTCATTGGCAATAACATAACTTGCTTGCAAGATAGGATGCATAAATCTTGTAAATTCTTACAATGCTCCAATGCGGAAATAATCGCACGTTCGGTCACTTGTGATTGATCAAATGTTAAATTACGAATATTTTGAGTTTTATTCGTTGAAAGTAGGTAAGAGAATAGACTATCAAATTGTCGTTGAGTCAAGGAGGGAGGGAGAACTATTTTTGAGAACAAGAGTGAATCTGGTAATGCGGAATATAATTGACGACACGCGCCCCTTAAAGCGATAGTCGATGCAAAATCCAAATCCCTTTTGATCATGTAAAGAATATCATCCGGAAGGGATGGGAGGGTTGTCAACGTCCCAATACTATCTAAAGCGAGAGGTTTAATATGATTCAAAGATGAACTTGCATAATACATTATCCTAAATTTCACAAGAGAGAAGAGGAAAAGAGAAAAAAAGAAAGGATCGTAACCTTTTTGTGGAGAGAAAATAAATATATATAAAAGATATTTAGATGTAAAACCTTAAGGGTACAATACACGCGAAAAAGAATACAAGAAAAGAGAGAAAAAAAAGGTTAATACTCAAAAATAAGCATTTTTTGCAGATTTATATGTTTAGTTTCGAAATACTTTCTTTATATGCAGCAAGTTGATTAGTATTGGTAAACTTTAGATTCGCCGATTAAAGTAAACAATTAAAAGTTTTTTTTTTTTTTTTAAAATGAGAAAATCAATCATTTATAAAGCGCCAATTAAATAGGGATGAATACGCAGGGTTCTAGAACCTATTGCATGTAATCATGAGCATCCTAATGCAAAACGGTCATTATCGGCATTTTATCTTTATAGAAAAATGTATAAATAAAATAAATATACAGTATCTTCATTTTTGTACTATTATAGATAAATTAAGCCAAACAAGTATTTGTATAGGTCATATAGGTCAAATATCGGTTATTTGTTTATTTTTTTTTTTGTTTCAGTTCGTTTTTTTCAGTTCTTATTACGAGTCTTATCTCTTGGAGGGTTATTCCCGAAGATGATTGGTTCGTCGAAAAGATTTTCTGTTCATTACATGATGATGTTTTACCAATGCTTGATTACTAAATTACTAAGTGACCTAAAATGCATAGAAGATCTCTGCGTACAACAGTTCAACTGGAATTATTACATGCAATCAGTACAAAAGAAATTCAAGAAATCATGAAAAGCTTCATATGAAATACCAATTTACGTGTAATAGTGGATTGAGATCCAACAAAATGTTTACCGTAAATTTTATTTGCTTTAATACATGATGACATCGTAACTGTCATCAAAAGATGTAAAAGTTATCTTCCTCTGCACGATCTTTTATGTTTAAGGTAAACATTCCGTCATTTGACCTTAGCGCCAAGCGGTGTCATGAACAGGCATGCAGGGATTGGACCTTTTAACGCGTATTACGTTCATAAACCCGCACACATAGCTCAATGAACCAGTTTGGTAAATTATAATAAAATTTGATCAGTTGGTTAATTTCGCGCTTAATAATATCTTGACACTTGTGAACTTTTTCATCACTTTCATCACGACGCGTAATATATAAACAAACCATCACACAACACTTTAACTTTTTTTTTTTTCCTTTTGGCATAATCGTTCATGAAACCAACTTATTTGACCTTATAAAGGTTCCGTTTTGACCCTTGAAGTTTTAACGAGAGATTTTCCGGCGCAGTATCATCAATTTCTTATCACTTTCTATCATTTTTGTACGGAATTTTGCGGATCGCAATCTTCCCAAGTTGGGAGGTACTTTTTATTCCAAGGTGTATAAAAAAAAAAAAAAAAACCTCCGCGCAACTGAAAAATTTCATGTGCTAGTTTCAATAACCTGTTGGTACCACATTAATATTCATTCATCACTAACGCTAAAGGTCACAATCAAATGATACGACATATTTTTTTTTTTTAGCGCCTGAACTTTCTTTTGATTTTTGATTTGATTTTCTTATTATGTAAAGGACCTTTGATCTTTGTAAACAAAGAATCTTGGTAGAACCATGTTCAACATAATGATGATTAACAACAATCGTTAGAAACAAGCATGATTTTAGTCTCTTGTTCTCTTGCGAAGCCTAACGTAGACAAGCTTAAATGGTAAGCAAGGAATCCTTTTGATGTAACATCAGACACAAATAGTAATGAACACATTTTAAAGGATTCTCCGGGGATAAAAAAAAAAAAATCTGTAATAATATCTTTTGTTGTTGTAAATCATGTCGCACGAGTTGGTCGTAAACATATGTGTTCCCCAATTATCTTTGGCCATGCAAATTTTTCTGCATTTGATTTTACACCACAGAGTAACCATGAGAGAATGATAAATTGGTGCTGCGGAGAACAAATTTGGGTGCCCTTTTGATTTTTAAGCCTCTGAGAATTATGTAGCCTTATTGCCATTGTTCTTTCTTTAATTTAAAAATGGAGATTCATTAACCTCGAATTACTTCCGATTAATCGCTATCGTTTTCTGACATCAATCGTTTCGAAATAGAAAATCGATCTCTGCAAAAAAAAAAAATAGTTTCGTTGGGTTCGTGTAACAAAGTTAATCACTAGTTTATTCCAAAAATAAATTAGATAGATTTGCTTTCAAGGTCAATTTGATTAAGTGACCTTAATGTTTCAAGTTATAAAATAAATTAATTAAAATGTCCGCATATTGATAACCTTTTAATTCCACAAAACTTGGATCTTCTTGAGAAAAAATTTTCTGAAGAATTATTTTAATTAAAATCAAAATTCGTATTGGTAGGTGTAAAACAACAAAAAAAAAATTTTTTTAATGTAACTGATAAAAGCTAGAAAAAAAAATTTTTTTATTTTAAAGTTTGGAACCACGTGTTATTTGTCTATTTAACTATTTAACAGAATCGTAGATCTTCGGAGATAAGATTATCAATATATATATATAAAAATAAAAAGTATTTCAAACTAATTTAAACAGCTACTTTTTTTGTCTCGATCAATTTATCATCATCTATGGATATTCAAGAAGTTCGCAGTCTTATAAAAATTATACCGGATTTCCCACAAAAGGTAAATTAGCGTGTTCTATTTCTTGTAAATTTTTTTTTTTTTAAAAAATTAAAACAATCTTTTGAAATAGGGGATCCTTTTTCAAGATATTTTTCCTATTTTTCGGAATCCCAAAGCTGTTGAAACTCTCATCACTCATATTACGGACCATATTGTTTCAAATATAAAGGAAAAGATCGATGTTGTTGTTGGTATAATTCTTTCCTCCTCCCCCCATTTATTTATTTATTTAAAACAAAAAAAAAAAAATATGGTTTACGAAATCAAAGGTTGAAAAAAAAAATATTCTAGAATTTAAATTTCTTTTAAAGGGTTGGAGGCACGTGGATTCTTATTTGGACCAATTGTGGCTCTAAGATTGAATGCATCCTTTGCTCCTGTAAGGAAAAGAGGCAAGTTACCCGGAAATACCATCACAGCTGAATATCAAAAGGAATACGGGGTGGTACGCATCTTATGATTTCAATCATTTCCCATTGAAAATGTCTAGTTCACTAAATTGTTTTAATACTTTAACAGGACGTTTTTGAGATGCAAGATGATGCAATCAAACAGAATCAAAATGTTATTATAATAGATGATCTTATAGCAACGGGTTCGTTACTTTAAAACTATTTTATTTAATTCAATCCTTTTAAGTCTTATGACAAGTATTTTATTGTTTATTCAGGAGGTACAGCAAGTGCGGCCGGAGAACTCGTTAAGAAATTTGGCGGTAATATATTGGAATACATTTTTTTAATTGAATTGGTGGAATTAGATGGTTGTCGAAAGTTGAAGTCCCCCGTATATTCTATATTTAAGTCTTGAAATCCGTTCCATTTTGAAATCGTATTCTTTGGATATTTCAAAAAGGAGTAATTAAACAAGATTATCGCATTGTGAAGAACTTGTGATAAATGATGCTTGTGATAAATGATGTTACCATAAATGCAATGTAAATGAGCAATCGTACAACAGAATATTTCTAATTATAAATACGAATAAATTCTCAAAAAAGTCATTTTTTTTTTCCTAAAAATATTTTTATGCATCTTGCATAAGGATTATCTTTCAAACATTCCTTATCTTTGTTAAGTAATAATAATCATACATTTTAAATAAAATGTCAACAAGGGTAACGGCTCGATGGGCATTCAACGTTAATGAGTGGAATCCGTCTGATGAAGTAAATATATCAATTAGTCCATTAATCCTTAGAACATGATGCAACGATTAATCATTTTGTGTAATTTTATCTATAAAAAGCAATATCAACAAGTTTTGTCATTTGTTCAGCCAGAAGAAAAATCTCGGATTAATAGGTTTCATTCTATCGAAGACGCAAAACTTGCATTGATTGGTAGATGTTTAATGAGGTTATTATTTTGTAAAATATATAAATCTAAATGGACATCAATACAATTCTCTAGAACCAAAGAGAATAAACCGATTTTGGTGGGTGATTTTATAGAAAAAAACAGTTTAAAAAAAAAAATAAAGGCGTAAAGATTCAATCTCCGTTCCTTTTTTTTTTTTAAAAGGTAAAACCCGATTTTGATCATGTAATCAATTTCAATATATCACATCACGGGGATTGGGTTGTGTTGGTTGCTGGCGAAAGCTCTTTAATCGGTGTCGATTTGATGAAAGTTGAATTACCTTTTAATCAAACTATTGACGAATTCTTTGAAATTCTTAAAGAACAGGTATTTCCAAATTCTGTGGAAAATAAAAAAAAAAAATTATTGATTTTGATTAACGAATTTTCACGATATAAGTTTTCAGATTATGAATGGAACGTGATAACAAATCCGAATCATACACGATTCCAGCAATTACATCAATTTTATCAGTACTGGTGTCTAAAAGAAAGTTATGTCAAGGCTGTTGGGTTAGGGTTAAATTTGGATTTGAAATCTATCGAATTTCATTTGTCTAATGAAACCCCAAATTTGTCAGGGAATACGCAGGTTTTTATTATTATCCAACTATAATTGATCTTTTAAAAATGTTATTCACATTTTTATTTTTTTTTTTAATACTAGTTAACAAAATCGAAAACACAATTGTTTATTGAAAATAAATTGCAACCTGAATGGAAATTTGAAGAAACATATCTTGACGAGTTACATTGCGTTAGCATTGCTTATAATGTGATGGAAGAAGGAAAAGACATCAAGCTTCAAAATTTTGAAAAGATTCATATTGAAGAAATAATAAAATTTGCTGAAAAGTTGTAAACCATGAATTTTCACCCCGAAAAATATGATTCGTTGAATCAACCGTTACATGAGGTCACGAGATGAGTCACGAGAGTTTTATTCCCATTTATAAAGGTAAAAAATTGCCGCCAACTCGCTGTCTCTGTAAACATCTTCTGCTATTCAAAACGTATATATAAAGCACTTTTCCACCAATAAACAACCCTTACCACGATGACTCACTACTATGAACTTTATCGCAGAAGCAGGTTTGTATTACAAACTTTGTAGTAGAAAAGGTTTAATTAAAAGCCTTTCTTTTTTTTATATAAAACAGGTTTTTTTTTTTTGTATTTGTTTGAAGCTTCTACTCGTTTTCTAGTTTTATTTATGGAAAAACATGCATAAATTCGATTTATTGACAATGATTTTGTTTTAAAGTATCGGTATTGCCTTGACTGATTCTCTTGACGAGTTGATTCAAAAGGAAAAAATTACCCCACAACTGGCGATGAAGGTTCTCGTACAAGTACGTCTTATTTAATAATTCTTTCAAGTCATTACCTTGAATTAATTGTAACGATCCTTTTGAAATTTTTTACAAAGTTCGATAAAAGCATAACAGAAGCCCTTGACACTAAAGTTCGCAACAAGGCAACCTTTAAGGTGAGCGAGCACTCTGTTGCAAACTAAATATTTTATATTCTCATTTGTACTAACTTTCCTGACAAAAAAAAAGGCTGGGCATCTTCATACCTACCGATTTTGTGACGAAGTATGGACATTTATCATTAAGAATCCTAATTTCAAATTAGAAAGTGATCAGGTTCTTGTTGATAAAATCAAGATTGTTGCATGTAATTCAAAAAAACCTGGTGAAGCTGAAAACAAAAGCTGAATTTATTCATGTATCATTTGATTTATTTGTAATTGATAATAAAAAAAAAAAAAATTATATCTCACATAATTATTAAAATATTTCTAATTGATTGCATTTCACAAATTATAATGTATCAATAAAATAAAAGAACAAAATCTAAAATCCTTTATCATGACCACCTTCTTTATAAAAGTTATTTAATATTTCAACAACCTTTTCAAAACTTACCAACCATTCTTCAAATTGTCGATAAACTTTTTCTTGATCTTCCCCTAATTTTTCAAAGAAATCTTTACGATAAGGACAACATGACATCGCCATCTTGATCAAATCCCAAAGAAAGAATTTTTTTAGATAAAGGAAATAAAAAAAAAAAAAAAAGGAATGAATGAATAAATATAAGAATTGACGGAACATACTTTAAATACGGGTCTGACAAGCATTCCATGAAATTTTTTCAAAGTGTCCTCATAAGCTTTAGTAAAGGAAACCGAAAGTTCTTCAGCCCCATTGGCACTTTTAGAACTTTCTAGAGATCGACGTAACGCTACTGAAGTAAATTCCAATCCTCTGTATTATACAGATCCATGAGAATATTTTGAGCACTTCAAACGAAATTTACAAGGATTAAAGGGTGCTACTACTAACCTCTTTAACCACATTAACCCTTCAGTGGCAATCCGTTTCTTTTCATCTTTTTCGTTAATTACGAGTTTCTCAAGAGTGATATTTTTTTTTGGATCAGTGTTGTAACGGTTTCTAATTTTCTATTAGGGTGATAGTGTTTGGTTAATGTTTTTAAGGTAAAAATTACTTAATCAAATGTTTTAAACGTACCAAAATATTTCCATTCATATCATTTTGCACGACGGTAAATGCTTTAGAATTCAGCAAGTCTATAAAGATTATATTCGAAATTTAAGTATCTTCCAGAACAAAATTTCTTGAATTCTTCAATTATCTATAAAATTTTACCAAATAACTTCACAACTCCTTCGGTAGCTTCAAGAAAAGGCATAGTTTCAATACCTTCACTCGTAATAGGAACATCAGTATAGCTTCTTTGAATGTTATCAAAATAAGTTGCCATTTCTTTTTCTTTTTTCGTTTGATAAATATAAAAAAAAAAAAAAAAAAAATTATATAATTAAATTATCAGAAGGCCATGTTTCAGAAAGTCTTTATATAATTAATTTTTAATCGTCGTTTTCCAAATTTAGAATTACTGGTCCTACGAAAATTTGAAGCACATCAAAAAGTTGCGTCTAGATTTTGTGGACAATGCATCTTTACTAATTTGCAATCAATGTTGAATTCTGATTGGGTTATGACCTAAGAAAGTCAAACAAAAGTTTTGACGTATGTTTCCCTGTCATCATAGATACTTAAAACTCTCGTTATTTTTGCTAAATAATCACCCTCTTTATATAGGTTATTTAATATTTCAATAATCTTTTCAAAAAGCAATCAACCATTCTTTAACTTTTCATTAATTTCCAATGAACGTCATATTTTTTTATGATTTAGAATAAGGAATGAATATATTAATTGACAAGATAAACTTTAAATACGGCATTCCGTTCATAAGCTTTATTTAGTAAAGGAAACTAAAGATCGACGAAAGCTTAAAAAGGAACCACTAACCTTTCAACCATGATATCCCTTTAGTGGCAGTAAGTTCCTTTTCTTATTTTTTTATAGGATAGTGTTATAACGGTTTCTAATTTTCTAAATGGCGAAAGTACCAAAATATTTCGGCGGTAAAATGCTTTAGCTTTACGATTATTATTGTTCATTTAAGGCAATTTCTACAATGATTTTAGAATGATTTCTATTATAATTTCTGTTGTTGTTTAGAATGATTTCTATCATTTCAAATAAATGACTATTTTGTATCACTTCTAAAAATGATTAAATAAAATAATTTTACATAATTTATTAAAGAATTATTCTAATTAGATTTTTTTTTTTTTGCTTCATTTGAATTAGTTTAAAATTTTTTATTATATATTTAAAATGATTAGTTAGTATAATCTAAAAGATATTACAACATATTTATTTAAGTTATACTAATTATAAAAGCAGTATTATCTAGTTGAATTTTAATTTACTAAAATCAAGAAAATAATAAAAATTAACTAATAGAATTTTATAATGAATCTAAATAGTTTATCAATTCTGAAAAGAAGATATTTTATAATACATTTAGATTTTATAATTAATACACATTCTTATTTATATAATCTAAGTAGGGCAAAATTGGGGGTTATGGGGTCAAAATCGAAAAAAGATATCCAGAAAGATCCCAATCATAGGCCAGAAGCTCTTCTAGCTATATGAATCCAT